AGAGATTTTACTTTGCCTTTCTAGTAATATGCATATTTTAAAATAAAGATTCAAGTAGTTGAAGATTTCACTTGACCTTTATCGTAATATATGTGCATTTTTAAAGAAAGATTCTCATTTTGTCATCAACTATTTTTATTCTGAGTTCATCAAGTTCATAGTAAAATATGATTTCCTTGTTAGCGCCCTGTGGGTCAAAGTTCAAGAGTTGTGAGGCGGAGCTTGTTCTATAATGTGATCGGAACGTGCTGCCTACCTCCATAGAGGTAGGAGCCTCACACACCTGTTGCGAGGAAGGGCCTTCTTTTGTTTTGTGATTTTGTAGTGGCTGATCCATGTCCTAAGATTTTCGTATGCCTAATGTGCCTATTCAAAGTTGGATATGGATGCTTCGTTGCCAAGTTTAGAAAATCAGATGCATTTGTTTATTAATTGAATTATTCAATGACTAATCTTGCCACATTCTTTTCAGATGTCAGCCTTGAAGACAGCAAACAAAGAGCTGAAGGGAATGATGAAAACTGTGAAAATTCAAGACATAGATGTCTGTATCTTACCCTGATACATTTCTCTTCAATGTGAATGATTCTTGGATACTTCTTTCATATTGCCCAGTGTTTATTGTATGCAGAATTTACAAGATGAGATGATGGACCTCATGGATGTGAGCAATGAGATTCAAGAGTCCCTTGGTAGAAGCTATAGTGTACCTGATGACATTGATGAGGATGAACTCCTGGGTGGTAAGATCAAATATGAACTAATATTAAATTAGAACATGCACCACTGGACCTTAATAGGACAGTGTTGATATTTTGCATTGCTTTTCGTGGGAAAATAGGAGGATTAGATTTCTGCTTCATTTACGTATATACTTAGATCGTGGAAGTATGTACTCATTTCTTTGAAGAAAGGCCATGGAAGTAAACGAATATGTATCTCAGCAGTTTCCACTTCCAGAATGTGGCTGTATTAGGGAGATCTAGAAGTCTTTGCAAGTTTACTTCTTTTTAAACTTTTGGGATATATTCCAATGCAGAGCTTGATGCTTTGGAAGCGGACATGGGGATGGAAACTGAAAGTGATGGAGTGCCCTCTTATCTTCAACCTGATAAGGAATCTGATCTGGATTCAGAGCTCAACCTGCCATCAGCACCAACAGGGCATGCCCCAGGTGGAAGAACAAATGCCCAGGTAACTTCCTTCTAGACTAAAGAACTGTTTTCTTGTGTCTAATTTTTTCTGGTTATAAGTTTCAAGTTCATGATTAGAGCAATCTCTTTTTATGCACCTAAAGATTCTACCTGCTTTAATAAACCAAAATTGGGGAAATAGCAGCTTCTATATTTTGTTTGTTCCAATTTAACTAACTTATTTGGTACACCAGTGCGGTGGTGTCCTGTAAGCTTGTTATTTCTCTCATTTAGCCCTTGTTTGACAACCATTATTTGAAAACTTTTTTTTCTATATACTCATTTTCAACCATACATACATTCATACAATACAATATTCTGCAAGTAAACCCAAAACTTTTCCCTACTTTTTAACCACACATTTTCCTAAAAGTCACTATTCAAAACATTATTTTTAAGAAAAATGGCCATCAACAGGGGATTAATTTTCTTTACTGCAATGGATTTTCACCCTCTTGAACTCCCTATACGCGTTGATTTCAAAAATTGTTAGGCGTCTCTTATATATTGTATTGTGTAAATATATGTAGGTTTTGAATATCTTCTATTTTGAAATGTGGAAGTGACGTCATCTCCGGCCTACACATTTACTTTGTTGTAGTTTTTAATTGATCCATAATACGTGGCTTACTAAATATATTGTACGTACATAGACAAGCTTCACAGATTGGCTAAAAATGATTCATATAACTGACTTGATTAAATCTAGGGAACTTTGCACAAGTGCTGCTAATACCACACCGATAGGAAATCTGTATTACCGAAAGAACAAACAAAATGGAATTACAATAGTTTGATGAGCATTCGAGAGGCTCCACTCTCTCCTGATTTACGCCCTAATTTCTGCCTACCCCCTAATGAAACATTGCCCCCTAGCTATAGGTAAAAGCCTACTCAACTTATTGTATTAAATCTCCATAATACCCCTGCACAATTGACAGTTAAACTAACTGCTAGTTTGGGGTTCTATCACACACTATCGTTTCTGCTGCATAAACTTATGGATAGCACTAGCACTAGCATTTTCATTTTTGTCTTGCTTTTTATGTCTAGCAGTGTCTTTAATTTGATTTTGATGTTGCACAGACTGAGGACGAACTTGGTTTGCCGGCTGTCCCTCAAGCTTCAATCCGAGGTTAAAGAGGGAGTTCATTATGGGAAATTCCACACGACGGAGGTGTGCATGTGAAAGGCCATTGTAAACATAACGCGTGGAATTTTATACTTGGTCCTGTTTTTGTCGTCTTATTTTTCGTGGCTGTTGATCAAATAATGGAGTCATACTTGATTATGTGCAACAAGCAGAACTCGAACAAAAAATTATGTTAATAGTTAACGTAGTGATTCTTTTTCTTTCTATTGTTTGGCCCGATTGTTGTCTTTATATTTTCCTGGCCTTTCGCAAGGTCATAACCGTCTTAGATGTTGATGTTTTTCCCTCATATTTAGGTTGAACCACTGGAATACATTGACATACCAAAAATCATTAAAAGAGAATCGAACTATATCTATTGTACTGTGGAATTGATTAAACGTTTAGGCTGTGTTTGATACACAACTTTTTTCTTGCCAAATGGAAAAAATTTTCTATTTCCATGCAAAAGAGGTTTTTGATGGGAGAAATTTGGCCAAGAAAAATTTTTTCACAACCCAAACCACCACACACACCTCACGCGTCCTCTTTTCTTGTTTTTAGGGAAAAGCTTTTCTAGGTGGTTGTAGCCATTTTTTTTTTTATTCCAATGAAAACAAATTTCATAACTAGTCATAAAAAAAAATCACTTTAATAGACAATTTTCATGTAAAACAAAGCCAAACAAACACAAAATTTAAAAATTTTTCGGATGTAAAGTTATACAAATCAAACACACTAAATTAACAATTCCCTATAAAACAATTTCTAGACAATTACTTTCCCTA